ATGAGGGTCAGAGGGATCATTTGGGATGGGAGATGTGTGCTGGAAGTAGATAAAGGACCAGACGTGATAGCCTCTCAGTATCTGTATTACAAACCATAATGCCCAAAAGTAGAGAGAGAGAGAGTATGGGGGAATTTGTCTGTCAAAGAGGAGGGGTGGGGTGGGAATGGGAGTACTAGGGACAGTGGTGGTGGAAAATGGGCACTGGTGGAGGGATGGTGTTCGATCATTGTATGATGGAAACGCAAACATGAAAGCTTTGTAACTGTATCTCACAGCGATTCAATAAAAAAAAAATTGCTTGTGAGGTAATAAATACTCTGGCAAGAAATTATCCAACTCTGTTAGGTGGGACTAGAATTTTGGTCTAAAATTTTTTTAAAGTATGAATCCTTTTTTCTTTTTGGGTCACACCCTTCTATGCACAGGGGTTACTCCTGGCTCTGCATTCAGGAATTACTCTTGGTGGTGCTGGGGGATCATCTGGGACGCTGGGAATTGAACCCAGGTTGGCAGCATACAAGGCAAATGCCCTACTCACTGTGCTATCACTCCAGCCCCCTTAAGTATAAATTTTGATTTTATTTTGTTTTGGTATTAGGATTGAACCCAGGACCTCAAACATGCAAAGCATGTGTTTCATAATCCTAGACCCCTTGGGATATGTATAAGAAAAACCAATGTCATTACTCATTATATATATAATAAATATTGGATATAAAATGAAAAAATTATAATATTTTAGATTTATTGTTACTAATGTGGGAATGGAGTATAGCTGTTTTTCAGGACGTAGCAAACAGATAAATTTATAGATATTTCTAGACCGTTTAATAGCTATTACAAATGGATATAATGCTGCTGCTTCTCTTGTGGTGGAAGGAGGCTAACTGAATGAGGCAGAATTTATTTGCTAATATGTAGACAAGAATTGCTTGTATTACCATTAGCTTTATCCCTAATTTTAAGTTGTAAAAAAGCCCAAAGACAACTCCGAAGGACTAAATTATCTCTGGAGACTCTCAGAATTTCAATGGATGAGTAATTCCCCAGTAATAAAGTTTTCTTTATTATGTGATTTTCTACCTACTCTTATGTTCTGAATAATTAAGTCTTTATCCTTGATGTTTTATTAGCTTAACCAAGATGTGTTTTTTGATCATAGTATATTTTTCCTTGTCTGTAGGCTTTTTACCCCTTTATTTTGTGGGAGATATATATATTTTTTTAACTGCTGGTCTTTTCTATTTATTCTAACATCAGAAATGCCTTTCCATATCAGTTCTTTGTCTTATATCTAAATACTTTAGTATCTTTGAGGTTTTCCCCTTTCTCAGTACTAAGATTTTTCTTTTTGCCATTAGTTTGATTCTTGCTGTTTTTCCAATTCATTTTTGTTTTTTTTTATCAAGATATAATTGATGTAAATTTATTAGTTTTAGGCATGCATTCTGGCTCACTATCATTTGAAATTGTTTTTATTACCTTCATAACTCTTTAGTTTACCTGTTTGTTCTTTATGCCTTTTAGGTTTTGTTGTATTAGATGTGTATTTTTATTGGGTGTTGTGTGTTACAAAGAACTCATTGTCCTATGTATAATGGTTTCTTTCAGATTGACTCCTTTGTTTTGTGTGCTGTAGTCATTATTATGTTTCTCCTCTTATACACCCTTGTTTATGTACTTGTGTGTCATTTTGTTGTTGTTGTTGCTAAGTAACTGATGGCAAGGGCTTTCTTGCATCACTCAGATACAACATGACTGAACTCTCCTTCCTGTCTTTGCCATCTTAGCTGTGAGACGGTCTTATTTTAGTGCACCCCACTCTCCTTACCCAGACCAATGCCTCTTTAAAACAGTATGCATTGTCCTCTGCTTCTCTGTCCTTGAAGGGTATGTTACTGTTGGGGATGGGAAACTTTTCTGGGGCCCAGAACTCTCTTATATTCTCAGAGCTGGTGAAATGTCCTGTCCCCGTATCACTACATCTAGGTAAGGGGTAGTATGTTTCTAGAGGTTTTAGATTCTTCAACTCAGAATGGTGCCTCAAAGTCTATAGACTTCAGCTGAAATTTCAAATTTTCTTTCTTTCTTTCTTCTTTTTCTTTTTTTTAAAATTGATGAGTGGGGCTGGGGTGGGGGCGTGGTGGTGGCAAAGACACACCTGGCTGTGCTCAGAGCTTTCTCTTGTCTCTACGTTCAGGGATCACTCCTGGTGGTGCTCCAGGGACCATATGTGGTACTGGGGGTCAACCCCAGATTACCAGGCCTAAGACTAGTGCCCTCCCAGCAGTACTATCCCTCTGGCCCTGGAGGACCTTTTTTGAGTTTTAGAAGTTCTGAACTGTTGACTGTAGGTGACAGGGTTCTGAGAAAAAGCTAAGCACACAAATAAAACTACATGCAAATATATGCACTTATGCATACAAATATATGCATTTATTGGGGGAAAGGATGCCTGTAATCTTATTTTATTCTATATTCCTATGTGTATTTTAAAATCTGTATGCCTTAAAAAATTTTTTTATTATTATACTGGGGATAGAACTTATGTGTGAAATATGTGCTCTAACACTAAGTCACATCTCTGACTCCTAAATACTTTGGACATACTTACATATACTCTTCTCCATTAAAAATTCTTTTTCTTTCTTTTCTGTTTCTGTTTTTTGGTCATACCTGGCAGTGCTATTTTTTTTAAAATTATTTTATTAGTGAATCACTGCTAGGTACCGTTACAAACTTACATATTTTAGTCACACAATAATCGTTTACCCATCCCTCCACCAGTGCCCATTTTCCTCCACCAATGTTCCCAATATCCTTCACCCCCCCAACCCCCCCCCCCCACACACACACACACCTCTGTGGCTTCTGTGGCAGGACATTCCCTTTTCTTCTCTCTCCTTTTGGGTGTTGTAGTTCTGGCAGTGCTTAAGGCTTAATTCTGGCTCTTCCTTGGGGTATCACTCTTGGGGAGGGGACTTCAGAGAACTGTATGTGGTGCTGGTTATTGAACCTGGGTGGGTTCAAGGCAAATGTCCTACCTGCTGCATTATTGCTCCCACCCACTCTAGAAGCTAATTAAGAAGAGGAATGACATAAAATCACCTTTTTTTTTTTTTTTTTTAGTGAAACATCATGAGGTACAGTTGTAGACTTAGAAACTTTTGTGCTTGGGTTTCAGTTATACAATGATCGAGAACCCATCCCTCCACCAGTGACCATTCTCCACCACCAATGAACCCAGTAGCCCTCCCACTCCCCCCCCCCCCCCCCCCCCCCCGCATCCCGTCCCGCCTCTGTGGCAGGGCATTCCGTTTTGCTCTCACTTCCCTTTAGGGTATTGTAGTTTGCAATAGAGGTATTGAGTGGCCATCGTGTTTGGTTTGTAGTCTACTTTCAGCACGCATCTCGCATCCTGAGTGAATCCTCCAAACACCTTTACTTGGTGTTCCGTTCTCTATCTGAGCTGCCTTTCCCCCCAGTATGTGCTGCCGGCTTCCAAGCCGTGGAGCAGAATCAGCCTTTTGATTAAAAAGTAAACTGGCAAAGGTAATTTTTTTGTTTTTTAAATGAAGCAAGTTAGTTTTTATTGAACAAAACTTGCTTAGAAGGATGTGAGAGGAGAGAAAGCGATGAAATAGATTTTTAAGAGAGAAGGCAGGATTCTCCAGAGAGGAAAAGGCTAGCAAAGAGACAAGAGACAGGCATGCAAGAATGTATTCAGGAGAGAATGCGGTCTTGAAGAGCCAGCTTGGCAAAGAATGTTAATAAGAAATATGGTTTTAAAAATATCAGTAAGGTATGTATTTTTTAAAATTTGCAGTTTTGTACTTGAATGTGTTCTTACAGAATTCTTATTTAATTGCAGTGAGCAAATAAGTGTCATATTTCTAATAACACTAAGATACAATTTTATTATAATTTCTCGAGCGGGCACCAGTAGTGTTTCCATTGTGAGACTTGTCACTGTGTTTGGCATATTGAATATATCACGGGTAGCTTGCCAGGCTCTGCATGCAGGTGTCATATCTCTCGGTAGCTTGCCAGGCTCTCCAAGAGGGGCAGAGGATCATCGTCCTAATTTTATTATATGAGATGATAATTTACAGTTACCAAAATTGAATATATTGCTTCTAATTTATGCTTTTGTATGTGCATTACATCTTTTTGTGTTTGTTTTACCTTTAAAATATATTTGAGAGGATTAGATTAATGGACTAATCAATTTTTGTTTTGTTTTGTTTTGCTTTTGGGTCACACCCGGCGATGCACAGGGGCTACTCCTGGCTCATGCACTCAGGAATTACTCCTGTTGGTGCTTGGGGGACCATATGAGATGCTGGTAATATAACCCGGGTCGGCTGTGTGCAAGGTAAACACCGTACCCGCTGTGCTATTGCTCCAGCCCTCCTAATCAACTTTTATTATTGGTTGGAAATTCTTTTAGGTGCTTAAAACCACAGATAATCTCTTAGTACTTGATACCAGAAGAATTTTTTAATGTTTTTATCTGTTTCCCATTAAGTTAAAAAGATTTTAAAAGTATATTTCAGTTTTTATATGATTATGTACGCTTAAAAAAGAGAAAACCCAAAGTGAAAAATAATTTAGAAGGGAAATAGGAAGATATGCTTGTCAGATTTTATTACTTTTATTTTTTTTTAATTTTTTTATCATTTTTTTTTATTAGTGAAACACCATGAAGATTTTATTACTTTTAGATTTTGTTGTCTACATGATCAGAGAAAACTTCTGTAGTAATATACTATAGAAATGATCCCTGAAAGTTACTGGGCCCGCTCAAGATTTTGTTGTCATCCATACCCTAAATTTTCTTCTAACATAAATGTAAATTATTTAGTGTATCCAGGATTAATTAAGCATTCTTTAGGAATCCTGAATAGCTTTTGGGCTTCATTTAATTATACAAGAGTATATAAATTATAAAAGAATCTGTGATTAATTGTGTTATATTTACTTTTTTGTCTCCTCAGATTCTGCCAGAATTTAAGAACAAATGCACCTATAGCTCATGGAAGAAAAAACACAAATCAAGACATTTTTGGGTTCCAAGTTGCCAAAGTATGGAGCAAAATCTGTAAGAAGTACTCTGCAGCCAATGCCAAATGGGACAGCAGTTAATTTACTGGGATCTTCCAAGAGCAGCAATGTCAGAAGTTATATCAAAAACAATGGCCCTGGTTGCCCTTCCTCACATTCATTTAGTTGGAGAACGACGAATAAATACCAACGTAGTGCCCAAAGTACTGAACAGTCTAATAGCTCTCAAAGTTCACATGATAAAGTAACTGATCCTGAAAAACAGGCACCTACTCATGGAATGTTTGACAAAAATGGGATAAAGGGAGGTTTGAAAAATGTTTCCTTACTCACATCAAAGTTAGTAAAGCCATCCACTATGTTTGTATCATCTACAGAGGAGTTAAACCAAAAGTCTTTATCTGGGCCATCTAATTTGGGTAAATTCACTAAAGGAACATTATTAGGAAGGACTTCATATTCTTCAGTCAGTGCTCCCAAACCACAGTTTAATGGATTTTATGGAAATCGGTCTGCTAGTAGTATTCAGAGACCTAGAGCAAATTCCTGTGCCACTAGAAGCAGTTCTGGAGAAAGCTTAGCACAATCCCTAGACAATATTAAATCTATTACTTGCGAAAAAATGGTAAGGTCTCAGAGCTTTTCACATTCCATTCAGAATTCATTCCTTCCACCTTCATCTATAACTCGATCACATTCCTTCAATAGAGCGGTTGATCTTACAAAGCCTTATCAGAACCAACAGCCACCTATTAGAGTGCCTCTAAGGTCAAGTATGCTAACAAGAAACTCCAGGCAATCAGAAGTACTCAATGGGAATGAACATTTAGGATATGGATTTAATAGACCCTTTGCTGCTGGTGGAAAGAAGTTGACTTTATCAAACGGCCCAGGCATAACTTCCACTCTGGGTTATAGGATGATTCATCCCTCTCTACTGAAATCTAGCCGGCCTCCATTTTCTGGGAATATCACAGTGGACAGTAATAGAAATTCACATGCTGACACGTGTGTGGAGGATGATGCTGCACTTTTGGTTAAGGATGAAGCTATTGAAAAGGACCAAGAACTAATTGAAAACGATAGTTACAGAACAGAAAACGACCAGACCACAAAGAGTGATGCTAAAATGAGATACTTGAGTGACGATGTAGATGATATTTCATTGTCTTCTTTGTCATCTTCTGATAAGAATGATTTAAGTGAAGATTTTAGTGATGATTTTATAGATATAGAAGACTCCAACAGAACTAGAATTACACCAGAGGAAATTTCTCTCAAAGAAGAAAAGCATGAAAATGTTCCAGCCAAGGATATATGTGATTCCCCTAAGGAAAATGAGAAATCCTTCACCAAAACTGATGAATGGATAGATATAAGTGTCTCTGGTAAATATTAATATTTTTATATTTGTTTGCTTTCTCCTAGATAATATAACTAACATTTTACTTGGAGACTGATAAATTCAAAGATGCTGTTGGTTTCCTGAAAGGGGTATATTCCCCCCAAATTGGAGTGGGATAGCGTTTATCTATCTTGTTTTATTCTCTGTCCTATTTTCTCTCTACATAGTACAACATGAGTAAAAACACTATTTTTTAAGCGATTTTACCCCCCCCTTTTTTTTGACTGTCAAAATCATCAAAGGGATTAATACAAAGTCATGCACTTTCCCACAGCCATATTACCTGGCCTGCCTTCTTATTAGTTATGTATTTTAAAATATCTATTATTATAGTTAGGGTAACATGTTTACAATGGTGTTGATATTTATGGTCTTGGTGTATGTGGTCACTGTCATTTTAACCGTCTTTTTCTGTGGTAGTGGATTATTTTTATTGAACAGTGAAATTCAACAGCAATAGGAAATTTGTCTCATGTTAACAAGTGAGTTAATGTTGATTTTGACCAATCTAATAAAACTTTTTATTTTTGTACTTTTTCATTTTTTTTAAAGAGAAACTTAAATGTCTGGTTTAGCAAACTGTAAGTCATATATCCAGAGAAACTTTTTTTTTAAAAAATTTTTTATTAGTGAATCACGGTGGGGTACAGTTATAAATTTACAAACTTTCGTGCTTGCGTTTCAGTCATTCAGTCATACAATGATCGAGTACCCATCCCTCCACCAGTGCCCATTTTCCACCACCGGAGCTTTTAATTGAGCTTTTTGGTTTTTAATTGAGGAAAGTGAGCTAGCGCCTGTTAAATACTTCTTTTTATAAGTGGTTATTTTGGAGAAATGGTACTTTATTCCCATGTAGCCTGAAAATAAAGAATAAATTGAGGGTTTTGGGGATAGATATGTGGTTTAATTGAGGGCCTGAAGATGTGTATAAACTTTGAGTGTCTTTGAGTTGGAATTGGTTAACTAAAAACTGAAAGTTTGTTTTTTTTTCCTCATAAGGAAACAGTGTAAAGCTTAATAATATACACAGAGGAAGGACTTTCCTGGCTAGTTATTAAAAATGAATATCTTAAGAAATAATAAAAGGCTTTATTTGCATTTTCAGGTATGTAGAAATGAAAAAAATCATTGAGTTTTCTTTATATTTGTTAGGAAACATTTAAATAGGTAATTTATAAGATTTTCATCTTGAAATTTTATTGTTTAGGATTTGGAAAATTCTATAGTTTTGAGTTTTTTGAACTTTTTGCTCTGTTAAATTATTGCAGCTTATGTATTTAGAGCCTGAAAATAATAATATTGTATGAATGAGTAACTTAATTTTTTTCTTCTCTTTTTTAAAACAACAATTGAAGACAGGAGTGAATGCCCAAAACATACTTCTGGGAATAACTTGATTTCACCTGATACAGATTACAGAGCTGGCTCTTCATTTGAACTTTCTCCATCTGATAGCTCTGATGGAACATACATGTGGGATGAAGAGGGTTTGGAGCCCATTGGAAATGTCCACCCTGTTGGAAGCTATGAGTCTTCTGAAATGAACAGCATAGTATGTATGAATTTATATACCCTTCTGGAACATTGTTTTAAGACTTGTGATAATGAAGTAGCACTGTAGCACTGTCTTCCCATTGTTCATCGATTTTCTCGCGCTGGCACCAGTAATGTCTCCATTGTGAGACTTGTTACTGTTTTTGACATATTGAATATGCTACAGGGAGCTTGCCAGGCTTTGCTGTGCAGGTGGGATACTCTTGCCAGTTTGCCGGGCTCTCCAAGAGGGCTGGAGAAGTTGAATCCAGGTTGGCCACGTGCAAGGCAAATGTCCTACTCACTATGCTATCACTCCGGCCTGATATGAAGTAAATTAAAAGAGTTTGTTAACTCTCCTAGTTTAAGATACAGCAATTTCACTGTGACGTTAATATGTAATAATGTAAATTTGTCATATGTCTCTTGCTTTCGTTTTGGGGCCACACTTGGTGGTGTTCAGGACTTACTCCTGACTCTGTGTTTAGTGATCACTCTTGGCTCGGCTCAGGGAACCATGAGAGAACTAAACCCAGATTGGCCTTGTTCAAGGCAAGTGCCTTACCTGCTATACTATCTCTTCAGCTCATCGTTTGACTCTTCATTCAAACTCCCTTCATGCACATATTTAGGATACATATAGACTAACTTTGTTTACATTAAACTTGGTTAATTGACTGCCAGAGTGGGCGAAAAAGCCAATACCTGGAGGTTATTTGGCGGTTTATACTGAAGGACTTATAGCAACTAGTTAGCTAGGGATGCTGCTGAATTCTCCACTATGCACAGAATGGTACCTACAACGAGAAATTCCATTATTATTGAGAAATCCTCTGCTAGACAATGTTTGAGGTAACGCTGAAGCACCGACTCTTGGTGTTGGTGAAAATAAAAAAGAATTTTTTTTAAACTTTATTGATCTGGAAAATTCAAAGCAATTTAGTGTTCTAAGCTGTTTTGATCTTGGGTTATAACCATTTTCTTTTCTGCCTCTTGTTGTGTTAGTGGAAGAGTATCAGTGCTTTGCATATGTCAGTTATTTACTTTGGTCTGTGAGTGAGTAAGTGGGAAGTATTTCATTCAACCTATTGTCCCAAACTTATCTTAGGGTCCAGGTGGGCAGAAAGTGTAGTTTTCTAACATGTACCTGGAAGATTAGGAAATCAAATGTATACCTGGGTATATACTCGATCCCTTTCCATGCATTTGTATATGCTTACTTGAAGAAACATTGCAGATAATGTGGATAAAATGTTTAAGAATAGCAGGTATGTTTAAAGTAACTATTACTTGTTATCTAAAACATGATTTTCAATTGGTTGTATTGAAAAGTTTGTAGTCTGTGGGTATGTTTAATTTCAAGTAGATTTTAGTCTGTATAGTTTTCTACATTAAAAATAATCATTGTTGTGGCTGGAGTGATAGCACAGCGGGTAGGGCATTTGCCTTGCACGCAGCCGACTCAGGTTCAATTCCCAGCATTCCACATGGTCCCTCGAGCACCACCAGGAGTAATTCCTGAGTGCAGAGCCAGGAGTAACTTCTGAGCATCGCTAGGTATGAACCAAAAAGCAAAAAAAAAAAAAAAAAAAAAAAAAACCATTGTTACCAGAAACTTTCTGAGTTTCACAGACATAAAATAAACCAGGTATATGATTTGGAGATATTTTATTTATTTCATTAGATAAAATAAAAGGATTACTGTTTAGTATGTTAGAGATTCTCTTTCTGGGACTTTTTAAAACGTATGTGCTGAAAGTGGAATGAACATTGTCCAGAAGATGGCAGCAATAAGCAGTTTTAGTAGCTGGTGATTTTCAGAGGTTTTCTAATACAGTTCAATATTCCTGTAACTTAATGACAGAATAGTCTCCAAAAGGACTCAGAATATACATGAACCAAATAAAGATTGCACTATTTGTGTGGCACTTGGGATCCCAAAACAGCTAAGCCTCTGGGGTTGAACTTGGGCATGTGGGAATTGACCTCTCTGACCTCAAGAAGACAGGTGTTCTGCTGTATCCCCGAGTACAAGAAGGACATTGTATCCTCCTCCTCCTCCCCCTCCCCCTCCCCCTCCCCCTCCCTCCCTATCTTCCCCCATCCCTCCTCCTCCTCCTCCTCCTCCTCCTCCCCCCTCCTCCTCCCCCCTCCTCCTCCTCCTCCCCCTCCCCATCCCTCCTTTTCTTCTCCCCCCCCATCCCCTTTACCCCTTCTTTCTGCCACAGTCAATAGTGCTTAGGGCTAACTCCTGGATCTGTGCTCAGGAATCACAGCTGGAGGGTCTTGGGAACCATATGAGGTGCCAGCGACTGACTGAACCTGGTTCAGCCATGTGCAAAGCAAGCGCCCTATCCGATAGATTAGTTCTCTAGCCCTTATAGCTCTTTCCTTCCTTGTGCTGGGGACTGAATCCCAGTCCTTGCATTTGTAAGGCTTGCACCCTGACACTGAGCCACATCCCTGACCCTTTTCTCAAATTCATGATGTGTAAGCTATAGTATTGGTTTTCAGCATTTCTTTTGTACTGTAGATTCTTATAAAGAGAAAGCAGTAGCACCCTAGTGGTAAGTTACCCCTCTTTTCTAATGTGCTTTACTTAATTTTATTTCTGTTTACTTTTTTCTTTTTTTTTTTTTTGCTGCTGTCTATTTAATCAGGTAGAATCAGATTGCATTGCTCTACTGTTAATTTGCAACACAATTAAAATTTAAGGACTGTAACCTCACACCTCTCTATAAGCCTCACAGGAACCGTAATAAAGTTCTATTCTCATCACACTCTTGCAGTGACTCCTTCTATCCATTCCTTTTACCACCTTGCCCTCTTTCCTGCTAAGTAGCCAACATACTTTTCACAAAGTGTAAGTTACTTACTAATTTTTAATGTATCATATTTTGATCAGTGTTGGGGCCAAGAGCTCAAACTTTGAAGTAGCACTATATCCCCCCCCCCCCCCCCCCCGCCCCCAATTCCCTCCTAGTGTGACCCTGATGACTGTCAGGAGCTCTAGGCCAGGAGTGACCTTCTTGTTTCTAGCACTGCTGGGGGGATCTTTCCAAATAATTCATTTTAAGTTTTGTTGTGTAAGACATTATGGCATTATTTTTAATGCTTTTATATACATAATTTCTTATGTATATATGTTTTACAATTTATATAAGTGTCACATAATCATCTGAAACTTTTTCGGTTTTGTGTGTTTTTGTTTTGGAGTCACACCCAGCAGTTTTCAGGGCTTCCACCTGGCTCTGTGTTCAGGGATCATCCCTGGTGGGCTGGGGAGACTTGGTGCTGGACCACATGCTGGGCAACCCCCCCCCCCCCCCCCCCCCCCCCCCGTACTGTATTGCACTCTGGTCTCCTGCAACTTTGTTTTTAAACCTTGAGTTTTCATGCTTGTTTTGTGATGAATGGGTATTTACATTATAGGTTTGCACTTTTAGTGCATATTTTTTATGCTGTCACTGTGTAATGTCACAAAGCTGTGTCTTTTTTTGTTTCTTGCTTAGAAACATTTGAGCTATTCCTCTCAACTAATAACATTGATGCTGCAGTAGTGAATGTTGTTGCATCTCTTTTATCATGTATGTCAAGGTTTCTCTAAGATGTAAATATAGAAGTAGCATTATTGAATCACATATGGACCTTCAACTTTACTATAGGATTCCAAATATTTTCCTAAATAGTTTTACCAATATGTATTTCTCAGAAGTGAATTAAAATAGTTGTTGTGTTTTATCTTTACTTGCTCTTATCAGACTTAAACAATTCTAGCAAGTTTGGTGAATGTGAAATGGCATATCACTTAAATGTGCATTTGTATCATTTTTCATGTATTTTTTTCATTTTTTTTTTAGTTGTTGCATTTCCCCTTTATTTTACAAACAAGGGTTTTTCTTATTTGGGTTGTTTTATTATTGATAGGAAAATGTTTATATCAGAATTTCTTGTTAACTGTGTTGCAAATACTTTTCTCTCTTAGCTAATGGACTTGACCTTTTTTTGTGTTTTTTGGGGAGGATAGGATTTGCACTTTTGACCATATCTGTTGATGCTCAGACATTACTCTCTGCTTTGGGTTCGCTTATGGCAATGCTCAGGGATCCAGAGAGTTCTGGGAATTGAACTTGCAAGGCGTGTACTCAGCCCCTTGAGCTGTCCTCTGGCCTTTTGTGTGCCTTTAACGTGCATAGCTTTAAATTTTCATGTAATTAAATTCAGTGAGTGAGAGAGAGAGAGAGAGAGGGAGGGAGGGAGAAAGAGAGAGAGAGAGGAAGAGAGAGAGAGAGAAGAATTCAGATATCTTTTCCATATTAGGGCCATATAGGTATTTTGTATATTGAGAGACAGCATAGGACATTGCTTAAGCCTGGACTATGAAATAAGCTAAGTTTGAAACACCATCTCTCTTCTAAACTAGCAGTATGTCTTTGAATTCTCTAAATGTTCTCCTTTGAATTTTTTTTTAGGTTTTTGTTTGTAGTCCTGGAGATAGAACTCATAGCTTCATACATGTGAGGAAAATCTTTTTCTTTCATTCCCTGCCCCCCCAATTGGATTTATAATAAAATCTACTTTTACTATTCCTATTAGGAATTGCATGATGAAATTGTGTAATAGCCATGTGATCGATACTTTCAATAAATTACGAATTTCATTTTTTGTCTACCTGCTGGGATGACTGTAAGCATTAAGTAAGGTCTTACATGCATCATGCCTAATTTCAGGGATATAATAAGAAGCCAGTAAGTATCATCTGTTTGTTAGTATTTTATCATCTTCTAGGTTTCCCCCCTCCCCCCCACATTTAAAGCCTTAATTCTTGAGACTTTGGTATGAGGCATAGTAATTCATCCTCATTAAAATGTGTCCCTACTTGGTTCCAGTGCAGAAGTGTTAACATAGAGAGCCTAGGATTGCTGTCTTTAGGTAGGCTAGCCTGTTAGCAGTGAACAGGTTCCCTGCAGTGACATAAAACTTCATTAGCATAGTAAGAGTGGCTCAGTGTACCTAAAC